TAAACTTGATCCAAGGATCAAGTGTTCTTTTTAATTAGGCCATTACGGCATTTTGGTACTATTAGCTCATTTCGTACTAACTTAATAGTACATTACGTTTTTGAATGTAAAAATTGGTACTTCCCAGTACCACACCTTGCCTTTGGTACTGAATTATGTCATTTTAGCGTAGAAAACTGCGTTAGACCATCCAAGACAGTAATTTAAAAAAGTATTTAAAGCGAATTTTCGCAATTAAAATAAACTCAGTCCAATTTGTCTGAAAAGTAAAAGAAGAAGAACTTATTATTGAGTTGAAGTTATTGAGAAACTTTTGAAGTAATAAGAAGTCAAGCAGTGATTTAGTAAAAATTGTTACCTTTTGTCCACCAGTTTTGAATTTTACATTTCTAAGATAAATCCAGTATAATACATAGTCTAAGCCCTGATACTTATAAAAAAACCCGAATTGTTATAAACAAATAGTGTATAGAAAGAGTTGATAAAAGAATAATACCCATTATCAACTTTATATAGCTAAAAATACCCAAATCAGATCTAAGACTCATTGTTACCGAAAATCAGCTAATAATAGAAGTACTAGCCCGTGATCTCATTATTATATATTAATTGCTCTGATCATCAAATCCCCGTGACATACTAAACCGTGACATATCAATATATTGAAATCCGATCTCTATCGATAATTCTACTTGTGACGTAGAATTGATTATCGATCTAAGCCGAATATTAAATTACCGATCGACATATCGTGATTATATAACACGTGATCAAAATTAGCGAAACTTCTGAAATAGAAGAGTTGAAGAATTAGAGAATTAGTATAGTGTTGAATAATTAAAAGACAATAGGATAAATTAAACCTAAAGCAATAAGAAGACTTTAATATACTTTTCGAATATATCAACATAGGGTCAAGCTCTAAGAACTCGGACCAAGTTTCTCTACACCTCTATTCGAAGCCTACCACCTTGGAGTTTCGATCTCATCAACTAGTTAGATTATTGTTGATTTAGTTAAATTAGTTAGTTTAGTGTATGTTTAGATTAGTTAGTGTAGTTTAAGACTCGTATTAGCCGATTTATTCAATCCCAGATTAATTTAGTCCTTCTTACCGTCCTTAAAAAGTCTGGTCCTGAACTAGTCCATACCCTGGTACTAAACTGGTTCAACACTGGCCTAACCCTAGCAGTTTATTATGCGTACATATAATTTGGTAATACAGTAATACCAAATACTAAATAGTTACGTATTTATTATATAATATGAAAAAAAAAAATGCATACAGTATATGTACAGTATTAACTATCTAAATTTTATTCTTTACTTTTATTTTCTATCATTCCTGAATATACCAAGTCTTAAGGCAGAGACTTGCATGTGCCTTTTCATCATCTAATCGGTTTCTTAAAGTATGTTTGGCAACTGAAAAGATCTCTTCACTTGGAACACTAGTTGCTTGCGCAACCAGGTAATCGCGAGCCATATTAACCAAAGGTAACTACTGTAAATTTACAGATTTTGATTTCCAATATGAGAGGGTATCTATATTTTCATCAGGCATACTTAAATACTCATCTAATACATTATTATTAAACGACATATCATTATAGGTTCATTTTAGTTGGGTTCAGAAGTAGTTGTGAGCTGAAATTAACTTATTAGATTCTAAAATTTGTTTATTTGCATTTTCAACAGGAGGAGGTGCATAATTTTGGTAGGCCTTATTAATTATTTGACGAACATCATCTCATTTCAAACTAGAACTATAAGTGGAGAATTTGGACGAAGGATTAAGCAATACTGATTCCTAAAAGGTAGATTTTAATTCATCCCAATACTTATCAAGTTTTTTAAGCATTTTTTTTGCAATATGTAATTTTATTAGATCTATTGCATTTTTAGCTTCAGTTAGGTGATTTATTATTACAAAAAAAACTGTACGAACAACTCCAATCGTTGGATGACTTGACGAGAAAAATAATTTCATAGCTTTATAGATAGGTTCTAGAAGTGTCATCACGGTTTTAATATTATCCCAGTCTTGATCAGTCATATACAAATGTTTAAGCTGAGGTATCGAGACTACTAATATATCTGTCATTTCTCAAATTTTACATAGTTTACTTATCATCAAATATAGCGAATTCTATCTAGTTTTGCAGTCGAGTTCAGGAATTAAAAATGGTTTGTTTTTCATTAAAAAATCTTTTTTAACTCTTCTAAATATGGTTGAGAGCAATGAATTGTACTAGCAAAATCTTGAGCCTTCTTAGTTGATTCATTTACTTTAGAAAGTCCATTCACGATAGCGAGGTTTAGTATATGAGCTGCATACCGCAATCTGCGAAAAGTAGTATTTTCATAATGAAATTTCAACATGCTAGCAAGCTGTTGACTGCAAATGTCCATATTACCAGCATTGTCAGCAGTTACTGATAATAATTTTTTTCCTAATCTAAAATCCTCAATTATTTCAAATATTATATCAGCTAGGAACCTTCCCGTGTATTGTTCATGGAGAGGAATAAAGTCAAGTAATATACGCCTCAATTGCCATTCGTCATCGATCCAATGCAAAGTAATTGCCAGGAAGGCTTGGTTTGTACATAATGACTATACATCAGTTGTAATTGAAACTTTATAGGCAAAGTTTCTAAAAAAACTACGTATTTGTAATTGTTCTTGTTCATATAACTGCCCAATGTATATCGAAATTGATTTTCTTGAAGGTAGTTTATAATGAGAGTTGAGTTCAAAAATGAATACCCAAAAATCCTCATCCTCAACAATGCAGAATGGCTGTTGGTCGCAGATAATCCATCGGATCAAAAGTTTGTTTAATTTTTTTATCTTTTCTTTATCACGGACACCATAATATTCGATGGCTCATATAGATGATGATCGTTGATGAAGCTGGTATATTGCTTTATGATTGCTTTCAAAATGTCTTTTAATTGTGCTAATACCAGTTCTAATTCCATAATGGGTTTTTTTATTTTTATTTTTGCAAGAGACGTATATAATAGACAGCTTATCTGGGGCCTCATTGAAATATTTCCAAAGAGGGTATGCATTTTTTTTGTATCATTTTAAAAAACTGTTCTTCTGATTCTTCAATATTTGCTTCATTGGCAGGACTACTTTGTTCGTCTAAAAAATCCATATCCGGAAAAGAAGACATGTCATGGGTAAGTGTTCAAGATTTAAGATATGATTTGAAAATTAAATTGCGCGAAAACAACTCTTTTTATAATGTTATGTTTGAACTAACATCGAGTTCTCAACAAAAGGAATTGTCAACAAAAGGAAATGTCAACGAATGGAATTGTCAATGAATGGGAATCGTCAACAAATGAAATCGTCAACAAATGGAATCGTCAACAAATGGGAACTATCAACAAAAGTAATTGTCAAGAGAAAAAGAAAAGTTATGGCTTGAAAATATTTGGTTTAATATAATTGTACTGTGTTTTTATTAAAGATTATTAAATAAAGTATTTTTAAAGGTTTGTTTGTCATTATTTAGAGTTACGAACAATTGGCATTAAATTGAGCGAAAAAATTTAGACTAGTATAGTCTATACAAATGCCGTATGTTCATCCAATTTTATAATAAAGTTAAGGCTCAAAAATATTTGGTTGTTATAATTGTACTACGCTTTTATTAAAGATTATTAAATAAAGAACTTTGAGGTTTGTTTGCTATTACTTAGAGTTTCGAATTAATAAAAACAATTGTTATTAAATTGAGCGAAAAATTTAAACTAGTATAGTCTGTACAATTAGTTCGCTAGTAACTTTTTTTGTTCATTCTTTTTTACTTCAATCCACATTCTGTTATTGTAAAAACATTATTAAGCAGGGAAGTTTCAGACTATCAACTTTATAGCAAGTTGTAGTGATAGAAAGAAACTGAAATAAAAAATTACTTTTACTAATTTTAATTTAATATTCACCAATCGGAGTACTTAACAGCATTTCCGATTGGTGAACTTTAAAGCAGGGAGAGTAATTTGATGGAAAACAATTTAAATCAACCATTTAAAAATATCATTCGTGCAATTGCAAAGCATATAAAATTTATTTGAAGTTTACAAATTGACTATCAATTAAAATTATCGTGCAAACTCAGACTTTTTTCTTCTTGTTATTTTTTGTAGTTATTGCACAAGCACAACAATCTTGAATTAAAACTTAGTTGACTTGTAAATCATGAACTATAACATCATGCAACGATTAATATCATAAAGGTGCCACTGCATAGCATATTTCGGTCAATCATTTGCTCTGCATAACCAATATCTTATAAGTATCGTTCATTAATTCAAAAATTTTCGAAGTCATGAATTTAAAGTTCATTCGAACTAACTAATAATATCAACCGATACCTAAAACAAAAAACAATACTGTTATTTAAAAGTGTTGTTCTTGATTCAAATTAATTAAATTTAATTTTATGTATCAAAATAACACTCAATTTATACCATGTGATTGTCTGGACTAGTTTTGGACCAGTTCTAAACGGTCCCTAAAAAGTCTGGTTCAGGACCCGGTCTGAACTAGTTCATTGTGGATGAACACAAAGCATTCGTATATTATCAAAATCTGCTGAGATGGGAAATGCTACCGCAATGAATGACCTCGCAGATTGCTATCGATATAGAATAGGAGTTGGAAAAGATGAGCACAAGGCATTCGTTTATTATCAAAAATCTGCTGAAATGGGAAATGCTACCGCAATGAATGACCTCGCAGATTGCTATCGATATGGAATAGGAGTTGAAAAGGATGAACATAAGGCATTCACTAATTATCAAAAATCTGCCGAGATGGGAAATGCTGACGCAATATGGAATCTCGCATATTGTTATCGAAATGGAATAGGGGTTGAAAAGGATGAACAAAAGGCATTCATTAATTATCAAAAATCTGCTGAATTTGGTTTTGCTCAAACGCCAGAACAAATTGTTAAAGAAATGTGTAATCTGTATAATGAAGAAAGATTGAAAGGCCAAGAAGATTCTGATATTCTTGACACATTGGAACAATTTCTAATAAACAAAAAACAAAATACAGTTGATATTATCAATTTTTGCTTAAATGATCATGTCAATCCTATAATTCAAAACATTCTCGCAGGTTGTTATTATTGTGGTAAATGGGTCGAAAAGGATGAACGCAAAGCATTCGTTTATTGTCAAAAATCTGCTGATATGGGAGACTCTGATGGAATATATAGTGTTGGAATTTGCTATCAAAATAGAATAGGAGTTGAAAAAGATGAACAAAAGGCATTCGTTAATTATCAAAGATCTGCTGAAATAGGCAATGCTGCTGCAATAAATGAAATTGGATATTGTTATCGAAATGGAATAGGAGTTGAAAAGAATGAACAAAAGGCATTCATTAATTATCAAAAATCTGCTGAATTGGGAAATTCTGATGCAATAAATAATCTCGGATATTACTATGAAAATGGAATAGTTGTTGCAAATGAAATAGTTGTTGAAAAATATAGACAAAAGGCATTTGCTAATTATCAAAAATCTGCAGAGATGGGAAATGCTACTGCAACAAATAATCTCGCAGATTGTTATAGAGATGGAATAGGAGTTGAAAAGGATGAAAATAAGGCATTTATTTACTATCAAAAATCTGCTGAGATGGGAAGTGCTACCGCAATGAATGACCTCGCAGATTGCTATCAATATGGAATAGGAGTAGAAAAAGATGAACAAATAATTATCAAAAATCTGCTGAGATGGGAAGTACTACCGCAATGAATATCCTCGCGGATTGCTATCAATATGGAATAGGAGTAGAAAAAGATGAACAAATGGCATTTATTAATTATCAAAAATCTGCTGAGATGGGAAGTGCTACCGCAATGAATTACCTCGCAGATTGCTATCAATATGGAATAGGAGTAGAAATAGATGAACAAAAGGCATTCATTAATTATCAAAAATCTGCTGAGATGGGAAATGCTACTGCAATAAATAATCTCGCAGATTGTTATAGAGATGGAATAGGAGTTGAAAAAGATAAAAATAAGGCATTTATTTACTATCAAAAATCTGCTGAGATGGGAGATTCTGATGGAATATGTAATGTTGGAATTTGCTATCAATATGGAATAGGAGTAGAAAAAGATAAACAAATGGCATTCATTAATTATCAAAAATCTGCTGAGATGGGAAGTGCTACCGCAATGAATGACCTCGCAGATTGCTTTCAATATGGAATAGGAGTTGAAAAGGATAAACAAAAGGCATTCATTAATTATCAAAAATCTACTGAGATGGGAAATGCTAAGGGAATTTATAATCTTGCGAACTGTTATTTTTATGGAATAGGTGTTAAAAAGAATAAACACAAGGCATTCGTTTATTGTCAAAAAGTCGCTGAGATGGGAAATGCTTCTGCGATATGTAAACTCGCAGGTTGTTATAGAGTTGGAATAGGGGTTGAAAAAGATGAACAAAAGGCATTCGTTAATTATCAAAAATCTGCTGAGATGGGAAATGCTACCGCAATAAATAATCTCGCAGATTGTTATAGAGATGGAATAGGAGTTGAAAAAGATAAAAATAAGGCATTTATTTACTATCAAAAATCTGCTGAGATGGGAGATTCTGATGGAATATGTAATGTTGGAATTTGCTATCAATATGGAATAGGAGTAGAAAAAGATAAACAAATGGCATTCATTAATTATCAAAAATCTGCTGAGATGGGAAGTGCTACCGCAATGAATGACCTCGCAAATTGCTATCTATATGGAATAGGAATAGAAAAGGATGAACGAATGGCATTCATTAATTATCAAAAATCTGCTAAGATGGGAAGTGCTACCGTAATGAATGACCTCGCAGATTGCTATCAATATGGATTAGGAGTTGAAAAGGATGAACATAAGGCATTCACTAATTATCAAAAATCTGCTGAGATGGGAAATGCTGCTGCACTATATAATCTCGCAGATTGTTATCTAAATGGAATAGGAGTTAAAAAAAATGAATATAAGGCATTCATTAATTATCGAAAATCTGCTGAGATTGGAAATTCTAATGCAATAAGTAGCCTTACATATTGCTATCAACATGGAATAGGGGTTAAAAAAGATGAACAAATGGCATTCGTTAATTATCAAAAATCTGCTGATTTGGGAGATGCTGATGCAATATATAATCTCGCAGATTGTTATCGAAATGGAATAGGAGTAGAAAAAGATGAACAAATGGCATTTATTAATTATCAAAAATCTGCTGTGATGGGAAGTGCTACCGCAATGAATGACCTCGCAGATTGCTATCAATATGGAATAGGAGTTAAAAAGGATAAACAAAAGGCATTCATTAATTATCAAAAATCTGCTGAGTGTTATCGAAATGGAATAAGAGTTAAAAAAGATGAACAGATGGCATTCATTAATTATCAAAAATCTGCTGGGATGGGAAGTGCTACCGCAATAAATAATCTCGCAGATTGTTATAGAGATGGAATAGGAGTTGAAAAAGATAAAAATAAGGCATTTATTTACTATCAAAAATCTGCTGAGATGGGAAATGCTGCTGCAATATATAATCTCGCAGATTGTTATCAAAATGGAATAGGAATTAAAAAAAATGAATATAAGGCATTCATTAATTATCAAAAATCTGCTGAGATGGGGAATTTTAATGCACTAAATCAAATTGGATATTGCTATATACGTGGAATAGGAGTTGAAAAGGATGAACATATGGCATTCGTCAATTATCAAAAATCTGCTGAGATGGGAAATGCTGAAGCAATATATTATCTCGCAGATAGTTATCGAAATGGAATAGGAATTGAAAAGGATGAACAAAATGCATTCATTCATTATCAAAAATCTGCTGAAATGGGATATTCTAATGCAATATATGGCCTTGGATATTGCTATCGAAATGGAATAGGAGTTGAAAAAGATGAACATAAGACATTCGATAATTATCAAAAATATGCAGAGATGGGAAATGCTGATGCAATATATAATCTCGCAGATTGTTATCGAAATGGAATAGGAGTTGAAAAGGATGAACAAAAGGCATTCGTTAATTATCAAAAATCTGCCGAGATGGGAAATGCTGATGCAATATATAATCTCGCAGATTGTTATCGAAATGGAATAGGAGTTAAAAAAGATGAAAAAAAGGCATTCGTTCATTATCAAAAATCTGTCAAGCTAGGAAATGCTGCTGCAATATATAATCTCGCAGATTGTTATCTAAATAGAATAGGAGTTGAAAAAAATGAATACAAGGCATTCATTAATTATCAAAAATCTGCTGAGATTGGAAATTCTGATGCAATATGTAGCCTTGCATATTGCTATGAATATGGAATAGGAGTTGAAAAGGATGAACATAAGGCATTCGTTAATTATCAAAAATCTGCCGAAATGGAAAATGCTTC